TGATCTGAAACATTTAAGTGTGACAAACATGCAAAAAAATAAGAAATTAGGAAGGGGGCAAACACAGGAAGAATTATAACTCATTAGCTATCATCTAAATATGGTGATTTTAGTGGAAAACATTTGCATTAATGAGTTAGCCTTAATGAGTTAGCCTTAATGAGTTAGCCTTAATACGTTAGCCTTTATTTAAAGGTACCGTTCCAGGTCGGTCCGCTGTCCACGCTGCCACCGTAACCTTTGACCTCACAGAAAGGTGCAGCCCAGCTGTCTTCACAGTGACAGTTCCTGTTACTGTTACACACCTGAGAGACAGACAGGTAGACAGACAGGTCAGTGTGAGATACACCTGAGCGACAGACAGGTGGACAGACAGACATGTGGACGGTGTCTCACCCCGTGTCCGTGACACTTCTTCTCCACGTCACAGTCGTAGTTGAGGATGTCGACGCTGCTACACTCAAAGTTCATGCAGACCTGAACACCACAGAAGAAGAAACAAGCATCAACATCACGTGATCAGGATTCACACTGCTTGTTGTCACCTTGTTGTCTCACCTCCTCCTCCTCCTCACCTTGTTGTCTCCACACTTGCTCCCCTCTTCCTCCTCCTCCTTGTCTCCTCACCTTGTTGTCTCCACACTTGCTCCCCTCTTCCTCCTCCTCCTTGTCTCCTCACCTTGTTGTCTCCACACTTGCTCCCTTCGTTGACCATGCCCGGGTCGGGTACGTCTGATCCCAACATGAAGTCGACTCCGTAACACTTGGCTCCTCCTATCGGCGTGCTGATGATCGACGGTTCGATGCCGAACACCGTCACCGCCTGAACGTTGGAGCACTGCAGCTTCCCACACCGAGCGTTTCTATGGAGACGGAGCAGGGTCATGTGATCTTAAACTACCATTTAGAGATGATGACCATGAACGCTGAGTGAAAGCTCACTGTGTGTGTGTGTGAGAGAGTGTCTGTGTATGTATGTGTGTGCGTGTGTGTGAGTGAGTGCGTGTGTATGTGAGTGTCTGTGTATGTATGCGTGTGTGAGTGCTTGTGTGTCTGTCTGTGTGTCTGTGTGTGTGTGTGTGTTACCTGCTCTCACACTTCTTGTAGCCATAGTTGTGGTAGCCACAGTTGCCAAAGCGATCTCCTTTACTGTTGACGTCTTTGAAACAGATTATAGGAGCTGCTTTCGCCTCTGAGGAAGAGGAGGCGGAGGAAGAGGAGGTGAGGATAAAGGAGATGAAGATGAGAACACTTTGTTCTTTAATAGAAGTGAAACTGAAAGAGAACTTCAGTTTGGTTTCACCACATTAAATGGTGGTTTCTGTTTGTATTCAGAGATGTATCGACCAATCAGGTTGGAGCAGGTTTTGGATGAATGCAGACAGGAACCACGGTCACACTCGGACACGAACCACGGTCACACTCGGACATGAACCACGGTCACAATCAGTGAATAAACAGATTGATGAACGTACTGGATCCAAAGATGGCCTGACACTGTCTATCGTAGTGCTGACACTTCCCGTTATAACAGAAGGCCTGATGGTTCCTGCAGGGATGACCGTTCTGAAACAGAGGACCAGAGAGTGAGACAGTTATAACATAACAGACAGGTAGAAGGTGTCGTGGTGGTTCAGGTGGTTCTCCTTCTCACCTGGATGAACACGTCGCTCTGACAGAGGGAGGAGGAGCCGTTACAGTACTCCGGTAGATCACACTCATCTGTACTGGACCGACACACCGACCCACCTGGTAGGTACTGAACACACACACACACACACACACACACACACAATTATGTTATGATTTATACACAGAGACATTACATTACAGTCATCCAAAGCGACTTACAATTCAGAGTCTATCACATTTCTACACCGTACAGCACACACCGTTACGGTACCGCACAGGTACAGGAGCAATTTTGGCGTTAAGTGTCTTGCTCAAGGACACATCGACATGTGACTAGCGGAGCCGGGGTTCGAACCGCCGACCCTCTGATTGAAAGACGGCCCTGCTATCCACTTAGCCACAATCGCCACAATCGAGACAAACGTGTCCCTAGAAAGACTTTCATGAATGAACATGTGATTAAATAAAAACCTTCAACTGTTCTGTAAATAAATAATCGAATAATCAGGAGCAGCAACGTTCATGTAAAAAGAATCAGTGAGGGTTTACCTGACAGCTGTAGCAGCATTCTCCATAAGCACACTGAGCTCCTGAGGTCAGCTTACAGGTCTGATACTCACAGCAGGGGTCCTCCTCACACTCCTACACACACACACACACGGACACTTCCCGATGATAAAAGCGCATGAATCTACGTAGAAACCATAGAAATACAAGGCTGCAGAAGTTGCTTGAGAATCTTCATGTTTTAACCTCAATGCAAACAAACAAAGGCTAAATGAACTGAATCCAGGACACTATTTTACTTCCTGTTTCATGTCAAATGTTTAAACTGACCTTCTGAGTGCCACAGTCACACTCCTCCCCCATGTCCACCAGTCTGTTCCCACAGTAGGGGGCGCTGTAGGCCTCGTCAGGCCGGGGCACGTTCAGGAGACACGAGCCCCCCGTCAACAGGATCATCTTCTCAAAGTCATCAGCACTGCAGCTGCTGAAGTTCCTGGAGCCTCTGTGGGGGGGTGGGGGGGGTAATTTGTTAAATTGGGGTTAAATTGGTTCTTTCATTTTTGGGTGAGTGTGTACATATATTAATGTGTGTGTGTGTGTGTGTGTGTGCGTGTGTGTGTCTCCTACGTGGCTCCAGAGTTCATGATACAGGCGTTCACAGCACAGGAACAAGAACGACCGTCATCGTGGTTCATCCCCAGATTATGACCCAGCTCATGAGCAACGATGGAGGCAAACGAGGGAACGTTGTTGTTCAGGAACTGGAGAGAGACAGACAGAGAGAGAGACAGGTAGAGAGAGACAGAGAGACAGACAGAGAGAGAGACAGGTAGAGAGAGACAGAGAGACAGACAGAGAGACAGACAGGTAGAGAGAGACAGACAGAGAGAGAGACAGAGAGAGAGAGAGACAGAGAGAGACAGGGAGACAGACAGGTAGAGAGAGAGACAGAGAGAGAGACAGAGAGAGAGAGAGACAGACAGGTAGAGAGAGACAGAGAGAGAGACAGAGAGACAGACAGGTAGAGAGAGACAGACGGAGAGAGAGACAGAGAGAGAGAGAGACAGACAGAGAGAGACAGGGAGACAGACAGGTAGAGAGAGACAGACAGAGAGAGAGAGAGACACAGGTAGAGAGAGAGAGAGAAAGAGAGACAGACAGGTAGAGAGAGACAGACAGAGAGACAGACAGGTAGAGAGAGACAGAGAGAGAGAGAGAGACAGACAGGTAGAGAGAGACAGACAGAGAGAGAGAGAGAGACACAGGTAGAGAGAGAGAAACAGAGAAGTAGAGAGAGAGAGAGAGAGAGAGACACAGAGACAGAGAGAGACAGACACAGAGAGAGAGAGAGACAAACAGAGAGAGAGAGAGACAGAGAGAGAGAGACAGAGAGAGAGAGAGAGAGAGAGAGAGAGAGAGA